AAGGGAAAGAGGAGAGGGTGGAGGGAGAAGGGGTAGAGAAGAGGGGAAAGGGGTAGAAAAAGATAAAAGGGAGGAGGGGGAAGAAGGAAAGGATTAAAAGGGAAATATAAGACGTAGGATACAGGGGAAAGGGAAAGAGTAGGAAAAGAATGGAGGGAAGAAGGGGGATCACTGAAAGGGGACGATAAAGGAGGGGGAAAGGAGGAGACCAGACCAGGCGGCATGAACGAGAATGAATAATCGCGATGAATGATTCCATGATTCTGCCGAAGATGTAATATTGAGCCTTCCATTTTATCTTTTATCTTTAAAAATTTTATTAGTTCTTTTATCGCGGATTGTTCACTCATTCATACGAGAGTTCATGCGGGCTTTGGGCAAGGGGGAGAGGGGGTGGGGGGATATAGGCCTACTGCCATGATGATTCGCTCTGTATACATAATTTCCACGGTGTGACATGATCCAATCAGCATATGAATTAGCCTCACAGCATATAGCATTAATGCCATTAACTGATATAGCAATGTCATAATGTATTTTTTCTTCCATTATTTTTTAACGTTGTGGAAACGATAATGTTCCATATACATTTTTCGGGTCGCTGGATCGCATCGCATACACGCTGTTCATTCATGGATTAGGGACTTTTACAGCCTCCCCCTCCCTCCTCTACCCTCCCCTCCCTCCCCTCCCCTCCCCTCCCCTCCCTCCTCCCCTCCCCTCCCCTCCCCTCCCCTCCCCTCCCCCCCCCCCCTCCCCTCCTCCCCCCCCCTCCCCTCCCTCCCTCCCCTCCCTCCCCTCCCCTCCCCCCCTCACTGATCATGTTTGTGTTTTTTCGTGTACGCACTCTATGAGGGATGAATGTCTTTCATGTACGCACTGAGGGGGAATAAATATTATTCATGTATGTACTGGCAGAGGAATACAACTTTTCTATGTGCGTACTTTGGGGGGGGAACTTTTTATGCGCATACCAAGGGAAGACTAAAGTTTTTTATGCTTGTGCTAGAAGAAGGATAGCATTATTTTCTTCTGTGTAAGAGACATAAATAATAGATGCGCAGGTACCTTGGAAGGGACTCTATTAATAGGCAGGTACCAGGGAAAGAAGACCCCTTGATATCCATACTAGGAATAAGTATCACAAGATACATAACAACAAATTGATTACCTTTTTTCATATGTACCCCCCCCCCCCGATAAAAGGAAAGAAAAAAAAAGACTCGCCAGAGGGAAACAATTTTTTTTTTATGCATGCCCCAAGGATGGAAAAAGATGCCTCTCTGCTTATTACATTTTTATGCCCGTTCCCAGGGAGGCATATCTGCCCTTGCCTTCCTCCGGGAAAATAATTCCTACTTTCTCCCCCGCTGCAGGAGAGGAAGGCCCTTGCGCCGGCCACGTGTGCGACCACGGCGGCGTCTGCGTGGAGCGGCAGGGGCGGCCCGTGTGCGAGTGCCCGCAGTGCCCGGCCCGCCTGGACTTCGTCTGCGGCTCCGACGGGATCTCCTACGACAACGAGTGCCGCCTGCGGGCCGAGGCGTGCCGCATTCACCGCAACCTCACCGTCAGATACCGAGGCCGATGCAGTGAGTGGCAGGCGCTCCGGCGTCCCTCTTTATGTGTGTGTGTGTGTATACAGTATATATATCCAACACACACACACACACACACACACACACACACACACACACACACACACACACACACACACACACACACACACACCACACACACATATATATATTATATATATATATATATATATATATATAATATATATATATATATATATATATATATATAATATCAGAGAGAAACAACAGACAGGACGTTCACGATATATCTCTCTCACACCCCATCTTTCTCCCTCCCTCCTAAAACTCCCTTTCCTTCCCACACTACCCTGTTTCCCTCTTTTCCTTCCCTCCCTCCCTTCCCTTCCCCTTCCTTCCCTCCTCCCCAAGCCCGTCCCAAGAAAGTGCTAATCTTATTTACCAGCTAATTGTCCGGCGCATTTGAGAGCTCCTTCAAAGACGGCGCCGCGATGCCTTGGTGTCGTCCTGTGAGGCGCTGTTCGGGTGTTTGCCTTGCCTTTGGGCTCTGTTTATCGTGCCTCCCATTAGTAAATGGCACTTTGCTTTGATGCCATGTGTGCCGGACTCTAACTTTTCCTGCGCTCGGCGCTTATGTCATTTTTTCTCTTCCTCTCTCTTCTCTCATCTCTCTTTCTCTCTCTCTCTCTCTCCCTCTCTCTCTCTCTCTCTCTCTCTCTCTCTCTCCTCTCTCTCTCTCTCTCTCTCTCCTCTCCCTCTCTCCCTCTCTCCTCCCTCCCTCCCTCCCCCTCCCCCTCCCTCCCTCCCTCCTCCCTCCTCTCCTCTCTCTCTTCTCTCTCTCTCTCTCTGCTCTCTCTCCTTCTCTCTCTCTCCTCTGTCTCTCTCTCTCTCTTCCTCTCATCTCTCTCTCTCTCTCTCTCCTCTCTCTCCTTCTCTCTCTCTCTCTCTCTCTCCTCTCCCTCTCCCTCTCCCTCTCCCTCTCCGCTCTCCCTTCTCCGCTCTCTCTCCTTCGCCTTCGCCTTTTCCCTCCTCACCCTCCTCTCTCCTTTTCCCTCCTCTCTCCTCTCCCTCCTCCCTTTTCTCCCCCTCCTCCTTCCCTCCTTCCCTCCTCTCCTTTCTCTCCCTCTTCCCTTCCTCTCTCCCCTCTTTCCTCCTTTTTCCTCCCTCTCTCCCTCCTTCCTCCCTCCTTTCTCTCCCTCCTTCCCCCTCCCCTCCTCCTCCTCCCTCTCCTCCCTCCCTCCCTTCTTCCTTCCCTTCCCTCCTCCTCTCTCAGCCCATCTCACGGCCTGTGCTTTAACCTCGTCTGCACCAAAAGGTAATTCTTTTCTTCTTTTTCACTTAAAGTCTTTCTTCTCTCCCTCATTATCCTCCGCCATTATGCTTCCTTTTTTGTGTTTTCGTTTTTTTTTGTTTTTTTCGTTTTATCTTGTTTATCACCTTTCTATTTTCCTTCTCTCGTCAGTTCCATTTCCTTTTTCCTTTTTATTCTGACAACCTTCAAGTTGTCGGCCTTTCATTTGGAGAATATATAATTTAACATCTTGACATTTTTCTTTCTTTCTTCTTTCTGTATCCGTTCGTTTTCTTCTGTTCTCTCTCTCTTCTCTCTCTCTCTTCTCTCTCTCTCTCTCTCTCTCTTCTCTCTCCTTCTCTCTCTCTCTCTCTTCTCTCTCTCTCTCTCTCTCGATCTCTCTCTCTTCTCTCTCCCCTCCCTCTTCCTCTTTCTTTCTTCTCTTTCCTCTGTCCCTTCCTTAATTCATTCATTCCTACCTCCCTCTCCTCCCTCCCTCCCTCTTCTTCCCTCCTTCTCTCCCTCACCCTTCTTGTCCCATTCTTTTTCTGTTCTTCCCATTCATCAATATCCTTCTTTTTTCCTCCGTAACATGTTGATCTCTGTTCTGCCATCCATTCGCAGCACTTCAACTTGAACCGCTGAGTCGCGACCCAGAATCCCGCAATTCAAGGGCCATTTTCGATCTTATTTTGGTACTTATTTTTCGGTCTAAAATTTTGATGCCCGACCGACCCTAGTTTCGGATTTTCGAGGACGTCCGTGATAGAAACCTGGGCGAATCGGAGAGCGAAAATCTTCGCGATTCCTTTGCAATGCGATTAATGATGAAATGGGTCTTCTGCCTCAAGTTTCCTAGGCAGAGCGTCCTAGGTCAGAGCAGTGTTTAAATTCATGGAGTGCTCTCCAGACAGTATTAATAGATTAATTGATGTTCAAAGTTCAGCGGAGGGAAAAGAGAGGAACGGAAAGTTACAGTCGGATACTGTGGACGCTTCAGCGGAGCCCATCAGACGCATTCAGAATTCATGTCTGACTGAGGCTCCTCCATCAGGTCGGCCAAAGGTCAGCTCGGGTCACTGCCTGGCCTCGGATCTTGCTGGACTTTTTCGTCGCGGTCTGTGGTGCGGGACGGTCCCCTGGTCCCCCTAAGCCGGTTCTCTCGTCTTTTCTCTGCTTCCCTTTATCTTTTTTCATTCCTCCTCTCTTCTTCCTCTCTACCTCTTCTCTTCCCTCGATCTCCACTCCCCTCTCTTCCTCCTCCTTCTCCTCCTCTCTCCTCCCTCTCTCTCTTCCATCTCTGCTCCTCTTTCCTCTCTCTCCTTGTCCTCTTTCTCCCTCTCTTCATCTCGTTCTCTCTCTCTCTCTCTCTCTCTCTGTCTCTCGTCGCTCTTCGGCTTCTTCTTCCTCTCTTCTACTTTCTCTTCTCTCTGCCTCTTCCTCCGCCTCGGCTCCCATTTCTTCCTCTCTCCTCTCTCTTCTCTCTTCTCTCTCTTCCTCTCTCTCATCTCTGCTCTCTCCTCACTCACTCTCACTGCTCATCTCCCCTCTCGGGCCTCTCCTCTCTCCCTCTCCTCTCTCCTCTCCGCCTCCCCCTCCTCTTTCTCCTCGTCCCCACCCCTCTCTCTCTCGTCCTCCCCTCCGTCTCTCTCCTCTCTTCTCTTTCCTCCTCTCTTCCTCCCATCCTCTCTCTCTCTCTCTTCTTTCCTTCTCTCACATCCTCTCTCTCCTCCCTCCCTCTCTCCTCTGCCTCTCTTCCGTCGTCTTTCGTCGCCATCTCTCTCTCTCCTCTCACTCTCTTTCTCGTGCGTCTCCTCCTCCCTCTCCTTTCCTTCATTCTTCTCCCCTCTCTCTCTGGCTCCTTCTCGACTACAACGTTCCTCTCAGCATTCTCTTCTTCCTGTCCCTCTCTCTTCACTCTCCTCCTCTTCTGATTGTTCCTTCTGTTCCTTCTCTCTCTTCTCCTTCTCCTCCTCACCTCCCTCTCCTCCCTCCCTCACTCCCATCCCTCCCTCCTACCCTCCTCCCTCCGCTCTCCCCTACCCTCCCGGGTCTTCCCTCCTTTCCGTATTTCCCTCTTTCATTGCCCTCTCTGTCTTCTCCTCTTTCTCACGTCATCTTGTGACGAGTGTTGTGTGTATGATTTGTTTGCTGGGTCTCTTTTATGTTCCATTTCTTTCTATCTGTTTATTGAATGTATTAGATTTATGTGGTCAATTTATTTATCTGTTTGCTGTATTCGAGACATCAATTTTAATCTTCCCATCCATTTCTCATCTTCCCTTTTTTCTCGCTCTCCCGCTTCGCCTCGTTCCCATTTCTCTCTCGGGCGATTCATAGTATTTCTTTGCTTCTGTTCGATTTTAGTACAGCTCTTAATCAACTTTTTCCATCCGTTTTATCATCCCTCCTCTCGCTTCCCTCCTCCCTCTTCCCTCCTCCTTCCGTTCCCAACCTACCACATCCTCCTTTTCTTCTTCGTCCCTCCCACGCACCTCCTTTATCTTCCCTCCTCCACCATTCCTCCTTCCTCTAACCACTCTTCCTTCCTCCCCACTTCCTCCCCGCACTCCTTCCCCCACTTTTCCTTCCTCCTCCTCTCTTCCTCCTCTCCTCCTCTCCTCCTGCCTCCTCCCTCTTTCCTCCTTCTTCTCCATTCTTCCCCCTATCCAATTTTTTCCTTCTCCTTCACTTTTTTCTATTGTTCCCCGCTCATAAAACGCATTTTATTACCCTCCCTCATTATGTTCCGGTGGAGGCCTCTCCTTCATGTTTATTCCCAACTATGATTCTCCCTTCCTGCTGCATAGCTCCCTCTCCTTCCTCTTCCCTCCTCCCCTCTCTTAATCCTCTTTCTCTCCTCTCCCTCCCTCCTTAGGTTTCCCTCTCTCCCTTCTCCCGGCTCTCTCTCTCTACCTTCCCTTCTCCTCCTTCCCTCCCTTTCTCATCCCTGCTTCTTTCCATGACCTCCCCCTCACCGCTCCTTCCCTCCCTCCCATCCCCTCCCACTCCCCCTCCCTTCCTCCCTCCCCTCCCTTCTTCCCTCCCTCCCAACCCTTCCTCTCCTCCCTCCCTCCTCCCCTCCCCCTCCCCTCCCTCCCGCTCCCCTCCCCTCCCTCCCTCCCTTTCTCCTCCTCTTCCTTCCTTTCCTCCCTCTCCCCCCCCTTTCACCTAATATAATGCCTGGCTATCCCCTTTGTCGAATGAGGGGGAGAGGAGAGGAGAGGAGAAGCTTTATTGCCTCATTTGCGCTAAGTGAGGGGAGTTTATGAGGGCTAATGACCGTGGGCTTCTTGCAGGCGGCTGTGAGGACAAACAGTGCGATTTCTATGAGGTTTGTGAGGCTGACCAGGAAGGAGTCGGCCGCTGCGTGTGCCCCGAAGGATGCGATATGGTGAGTTCGTTTCGAGTTTTTTCTTTCTTTCTTTTCTGTTTTTTTTTTTTTTTTTTTTTGGGGGGGGGAAGGGGGGGGAGGTGTGGATGGAGATGGATAGTGGGTGTTAGGGTGAAAAAGGAGGGGAGGGAGAATAATTGGAGAGGGATGGATAGGGAACGAGGTGGATATGGAGATGGATAGGGTGTGTTGGGGGTGAAAAGGATGCGGTGGATGAATGATTGGAGGAGGGATGGATAGTGAATGTAGGGCGGATAGAAGGGATGGATAGGGGGAGTTGAAGTGGATGGAGAGTGTTGTTGGTGGATGGATGGCGTTAGGATTGGAGGGGGTAATGTGAGTACCATTATGTATATTGTGTGTATAGTGGCTTGGCATGAAGGGATGTTTGATGGTGGATTTTGTGTTTGTCTTCATTGTGTGGTGTGCTTGTGTGCCACTGGAAAAGATTGAGAAAAGGATTTTTTTTTTTAAGAAACGCTTTCGGACTTGAATTTCTAAATGGCACGTATTTATTTTTTTAGGATTCTTATTCAGTGAGGTTTTAGTTGACTTAAATAAAAGTAATTCATGAAGCCGCTTGCATCCACGATTTTTTTTATTATTTCTCTCCTTTTATTCAGTCCTTACGAAGACATGATTCATGAAAGCGAGTGAAAAGCAAAATCACCAGATAAGATTATATGATAAAAACGGGAATGGGAGATGCCTCACGAGAGTATGAGGGACTTTGAGGGAGTATGAGGGGAGTATAAGGGGCTACAAGAGTGAATGAGGGACAAAATGAAGGTTTAGTTAATTAGTTTGTAAATACTGTTACGCTAGCAGATGGAGGGAGACAAACGTATTTTTAATCGATCTTTTATGATCATTTTGGGATGAAGGAATAATGGCTATTGAATGTGAATCGGCAGTGTTGCAAGAATTAGATAATGATAATAAAGGTGATAAGGAAGTGATAGAGATAATGATATTTTGATATTGATAATATTAACAATAGTGACATTAACAATATCAATTACTTCCTCTTGATATATTTGTCTAAATACTGTGAGACAAATTTGAAAATAAGATTATTTCACCTCTCTCTTCCTTCCTAAAAGACCCCGCTAATATGCCCATTTAATACCGACTTCATACCCACTTCATACCCACTCAGCCCGCACGCCCTCGTTCGCAGGTTGAGAGCAAAGTGTGCGGCACGGACGGCATCACGTACCTGAACGAGTGCCTCCTGAAGGTGGCCTCGTGCCGCAAGAAGCAGTTCGTGATGGTCGCTTCCAAGGGCGACTGCGGTAAGGGGGCTTGGCTTCTGCTTCTCTCTTGATTTGCGTTTCGTTTTTTTTGTTTTCCTTTGTTGGGTTTTGGTGTGTATGCTTTTTTTTTTCTTAAGAATGTTGGTATTTTTTAGGATTACTTATTGGGAAATGAGGTAAAGATAGTGATTATATTCATCATCATCCGAAGCATCATCATCATCATCATCTCTCCCATCGCTATTATTACCACCATATTTTTTCCAGCATTATACTCACTATAACCACAATAATGATAATAATACCTCTTTCTTCCCTCTTTCACCGCGTCTTCCCCTTCTTTCTATTATCCTTCCTTCCATCCTCCTCCCTCTCTCCTTCCCTACTTCCTACTCCCTCCCTTCTTCCCTTTTTTTCATCTTCCTCTCCCCTTCCTCCTTCTCTTCTTCCTTCCTTCCCTCCTCTCTCCTTCCCTTCCCCCTCCTCCCTCTCCTTCCTTCCCCTCCTCCTCCCCCCTCCCCCTCCTCCCTCCTCCCTCCTCCCTCCTCCCTCCTCCTCCCTCTTCCTCTCCCTCCCTCCTCCTCCTTCCCTTCCACTTCCTCCTCCCTCCTCCTCCTCCCTCCCTCCGTTCCTCCTCTCCTCCCCTCCTCCCTCCCTCCCCCTCCCCCTCCTCCTCCTCCCTCCTCCTCTCCCCCAACAGACTTGTGCCAGCACGTGGTGTGCAAGTTCGGCGGGCGGTGCGAGGCTGGGCGCTGCGTGTGCCCGACCGACTGCCCTCCGACCCGCGAGCCCGTGTGCGCTTCCGACGGCGAGACCTACGAGAACGAGTGCGAGATGCAGAAGGCGGCGTGCGGGGTCGAGGGCGGCCTGAGGGTCACCTTCGTCGGGGAGTGTTCGGAAGCGCGCACCTCCAGTGAGTACTTTTGGGTGTTTGTCTTTTTCTTTTCTCGTTCTTTCTTTCGCTCTCTCTCTCTCTCTCTCTCTCTCTCTCGCTCTTTTTTTTTTTTTTTTTTTTTTTTTTTTTTTTTGGGGGGGGGGTGCTGTGTTCGTTTGTTTCTTTGCCTTTGGTTTGTTACGTTTGGTGTATGTGGGCGTGTGTATGATATGCATACTTACTCCTCTGTTTGTATGTAAGTTCCGTACGAATATTATGTTCTCGTATTTGGTTTTCTGTTATCAAGTGTTTCGGTTCATGCCATTAAGTCCGTATTATAAGCTAATTGGCAACTGCCCTTGTTCCCTTTGCATTCCATTCGGCGGATTTCAACCGAACAGGAGTTGCAGAAACGTTCAACAATTTTCAGTGTTCATAAATAATCATTGCTGGTAGAGACTGGGGGCATTCTGCCTGCGCCACGTAATAAAGTTCATCACGCAGCTCATTCATATCAGATAGAATTGATATTGTTAATAAAGTGGATTGTATTAATTCGTAATATACCGTTGGTTAATAGGAATAATTGTCCAATGAAAATCTGGCGCACGGAATAGTTTAGTTAAAGGTGGTGTGACTGCGTTTGGATTCTTTGAGTTCGGATCGTTAGCAGGAATGGCGGTTTTTTCCTTTTCTCTTTCCCTCTTTGCTTTACTTTCACCTGCCATCTTGATGCGGCGAGATGCGCTTCGGAGAGCAACCCCTGCCGAAGGTTCTTGCTTGAGGTTGACCTGAGGTTGGTTCGCAGGGCGACCTTCCTCACGAGTCCAAATTGTGTCCCCGAGGAACGTCTTGATAAATCTTGCTTTTAGGAGCAAGCCAAAGCAATAAATCTCAGTAAAGGGCGGTCGCAAGAACGCTTCTGACCAACCTAAAGCAAGAAAGGTTGCTCGCCGAAGTACTTTTTTGTATCTGGGATCTTTGGTTTCTTACTCTTTCTTAAAGATAAAAAACGGATATCCACTCTAAAACTAATAAATTCCATCCTTGTAAGTAATATTCTGTGTTCATTAACTCAGGTGAGAAGAAAAAACACTGCTATCCAAAGTGTTCTACACTAATTTTCATGATGTTCGTATTACTAAAAATGAGAGTAGCTTAATCTTAATGAGCGACACTTGAGTTTGTCTGGGCTGTTACTTGCTTGTGTGACGCTGCCCTCGTGTTGATCTCTCGTCACCCTCACTAACTGTGCCAACAACATCACCCACACTGACAACACCAGAACTTGACACGTCTTCCATTTGCTGTGTTGTTCCGAGCGCGCGCACACACACTAGTACAAACCTACACACACTGGTACACACTCCGTACACACGAACACACGTAGCCGTACGCCAGGACCCAGCGACGCCCCGACTAACTCTCGCCCCTCGCGCCGGCTGCCAGAGGACGAGCCGAGCCCCCGTCCGCCCCCGAGACTCGTCGCCGCGCCGCCGCCCCCGCCGCGGCGCCCCCGGTCCCCGTGCACGCCCTGGCGCCGGGGCCCGCGGCCGACGTGTGCGCCTCCATGACGTGTGAGTACGGCTCCACGTGCACGGTGCTGGAGGACGGCCTGCCGCGCTGCTC